TCCACAATGGGTCTGCCTAGAAAGTCTGTATCAGTTTTCAGTTTGCAGGTGAAGGCTAAACCTGCTTCATGTGGAGTGGTGTCCAGTCTTGCATCTGCATGCCAATGTCTGAACCCTTTAAGATAATCAAGTGTCACCATCTTCAGCAGTTAAATGCATTATATAAAGTGGTCTTATCATTATACATTCTGCATATTTATGCAGTTCAATGCAGTTGTGTACAGTATTACACAAGATGCATCCACACATCCACAGTTGTGCCCTTGAGTTTTTCAAAAAGTGTTTTCCCAGCGTGTGTGAAATTTTTGGCAGCAGAATAAATTCATCACAAGTAGCAATAAAGTCTGTTATCTTCATCTGAAATTTTGGAAAGACAATGGACTTAAAATTATCTGATGAACAATAAAATTTTCTTCTCATTACATGTCAGAAAAATTTTCATGCGTAGAAATAAATTAATTTTTCATTTTGAGAAATATTTCTTCAAGCCCACCTTCCTGAGTTTTGAAGATATATTCCACAAAAGCTGATTAAATGGTTCTGACTTAAATTTTTGCCAAAAACAGCACTTTTTGAACACCTGTTATAAAGTCTTATTTCAGAGCAAGAAAACTTTTTTGAGTTGGCAAACATTTTATGAAACTTTGCACATCCACACTAATTTTTTGTGGGTGAAAATTTGCTGGTCTGTGGGCCCAAAAATTTTTGGTAACACTGATTCAGAATACTGCACCTTTTTCAATGCTGAGACAATCAAGGGCTCTGTAACCAGCATTGGCAATGCCAAATGGTTTGCCAGCTGCCATGACAGCATGGTAGACTTGCACTGCAGACTCATTTGGCACATGCAGCTCCCAGCCAAGTTCTCCTGCAAATGTCAGCCTCAACAGCCTTACCAACCTGCCAGCCACAGTGGCTATCTTGTTTGTGGAGAATGGGAAGTTGTCATTGGACAGGTCAACATCCACCAGCTTTTGCAGAATGTCTCGGCTAATAAGAAAACAAAATTGCATACTTGGAGGCAATCCAGATGATGAAAAAGAAGTTAAACTTGAAAGCTTTAATTCTCATTTGACCCTTCTCTGGGAATTTAAACTGCAAATCTTTGAGTATACAGTATTTAGCTTGAACTATAATCTGTGATATACCAATTCAAATTTTGGCAGAGATGCATTTTGAAAAGAAAAACACGTGTTTTGCAAACCTTTTTGGTCCTTGAAGAGAAATCAGAGCCATGTCATTGGTGGCATTGTGAACTTGAACATCAAATTTCTGCTGTCTGACCACTGACATGATGTGACTGAGGGCCTGGTTCCAAGAGCCACCTCCAGCAGCCACATAAAAACCAGGGCCCTGTGAAATGAATTGGCACTTGCTATTGTTCCTTTCTGTGATTTGGGAAAATCTTGTGTTGCAGAAATGGCACCTGAAATTTGGGCTCACAGGGCAACAGTTGACTATTGTCCAAGACTGAGACAGTCAAGTCAGACTCAATGCCTCCTCTGGAATTCAGCATGCAAGAATATATGCTTGCTCCAGGCTGCCTCTGAACATTGTTGGTGAACACATAGTCTGCACATTTCTGAGCATCAGGGCCAGACAAGTAGAACTTGCCAAAGTAGGACATGTCAAACACTGCTGCTGAAGTCCTGCATGCTTTGCATTGCTCTGCAATCTTTGCAAAAAGATAATTTTTTCAAATGTCCATCATCACAACCAATTGAGCATCTTCTGAATTTCCTTCATTTAACAAAAGTTTCTGCATCCAAAAAAATTATTGAACCTTGGTAAGTCAAATTTCTAGGGACCAGCAGGAAAGAAATTAAACTTAGGGAGGTTTTGCTCTTTGGAGGTTTCCAGTTAAGGAAACAATCACTTTTGTTGGGAGGAGAATTGAAAAGTGTGGGAAATTGTAGATGAGGAATTTCTGGGCCTAAACTTGCTCCTTAATGAGTTCACACCTTGCTGAACTTGGAGGAAGGGGTTCATTTGCTCCATCAGTCTTTTGCTTT